AATAGTAGTTACAAACTAATTTCTAATTGGTATATGAACAAAATATAAGAAGTCTTGTATTGGATTTTCAAACTTATTAAACGAGCCAAACATTAAAAAAAATAATCGAAAAAGTGACAAAATATTTTGAAAATTATATCATGTACCATAATATAATTTGGTGAAAATTTGAAGTATTTACAGTCGTTAGTTTTTGAGTTGAGTACACAAAAAAAAAACATAATTGATTTTGTCAAAAACTAGACTTGCGTAATTAGTTGCGTTAAGTTGAAAATGGCAATAGTGATAACTCAGGTTTTTAGGGAGCACTCATTTTTATTTTTGTATATCCTTAAAGCACTAAAAATTGTCGGTATAGCACTATAGCGGGAATTAGTGCTATCCATGCTCCCATTGCCGCCCCCCTCCCCTGGGAATTCTTAACTGGAAGTAGGTTGTATATATCAATAGGGCGCAGATTTTTATGTAATAAAAAAGTCAATATACCTATTATGTAAATATTTGTTTTCTTATTTTTTCCAAAATATGTAGGTATAGGTACCTACCTATTAAATACATGAAATATTTTACAAATAAGTTAATTTAATTTAATTTTTTATTATTTACCAATGATCATATACAAAAGTCAAAAAGTACCTATTGTAGATAGGTACCTATAGTTATATTATTGGTTTATTATATACACTTTTTTGAAATTGTCATTATTTTTTAATGATTATTCATCTAATCATCTTCATTGATGTATTCTTGGAAACAGTTGGATACAACGTACATATGGAGATTTTCAAATATAAATGTTTGATGGTTAGGTCATAAAATTGACTTGTAGAGGCCTAAGTAGCGTTCAACTTTGACCGAGGACAGTGGGGCATACTTCATACTTGATATATCATATTATGGTGTTAATTCAATATCTGTTGACGTATTTTCATTTTTATTCAGAAGAATATCTTTAAGAGTTTTAATTTTTTGTAAAGCAACTTTTTTAGCAAGTATGTAGTAATATATTTTTTATTATAACTACGAATTCTCCTTGAACTTCATTTAATTTGTTTAATACATATATTCCACTATCTCAAGACTTTCAATTATTGTTGGATTTGATATTTCTAATTTTTTTATTTCTTCAACCAAGAAGCAATAATTTTCGGAAATAATATATTATGGTAAATGATAATTCATCTCATTATTTTGCATAATATCAGTAGGTAGCTTTTGTAATACCTAGCGATTGCGCTGTTTATCGGAATCAATATTTGAAAAAACTTCTTTAATTTTTACGAAATTGTTAGAATAGTATTCGACTATTGCTAACCAAGTACCCCACCGAGTAATGATTGGCTCAGGTGGAAGACATAAATTAGGATATACCTAATTCCTTAAATTGTAGTACTATACGAGGAGCTTTTAGAAATACTTTTTTTACAGTCGCGATTTAGGATAATCTGTAATCTAACTGTTTCAGTTACACGGAGAAATCCTTGTGCTATACATGTTAAATGCAACATTTTCAGATAGGTAACATTTTCTTGGAATTTGTCCAGCTTTAAGACTATACGGAAGAGCATAAGTTAAAAAACAAAAAACTGTTTTCGTAATTTGTGCCTTGTGGTCATAGCAAAGCAATTGTTATCATTAAAAACTCTTATAATTGTTTGATACTTGATACAATATCATTATAATTTATAACTAATATCAGATTATAATTTATAAGTAATTTTCATCCTGCCGGCGCGCTTGGTGATTGCTCCCTTTGCCCCCTTGAAAACTCTGATTTATATACAATTTTGACTTGTGGTGTATATATTTTTACAATATCGGTTTATGCCTAACATACAACTTAAGTAGGTACCTATACCTGTAACCTATACCTGTTGAGCATATGAATTTATTGACTCTATATTAAATTTAATATGTATTAGATAATATAACCTACACAGATTTTTTACATTTTTCTTATTTTTACAATATCGGTTTATGTATGTGGCCCATCACAAAACTTAGCAGTGGCGTATTTAGGGGGAAGGGGCGATGGGGGGGGGGGGGGGGGGGGGGGGGGGGGGGGGGGCAATTGCCCTGGGGCGCCAAATTCTGAGTCCTCAAAGCGGCGCCGTTGCTAGAGGTTATAACAAAATTATTTTTTTATTTTATTGGATTTGTTGAGAAATTATATTAGTGATATTATATAAGTATATTATATTATATTATATATTATATTATATTATATATTATATTATATTATATTATATAAGTGAATACCTGTATTTCTTATAATATCTTTTACATTTCTATACATATTTCTATATGTAATATATATGTATAATGTATTTGATTAAATTGTCGTTAAAAAAGTCTAAAAGGTTAAAATCAAAATTATAATTTGTTTATTTAATTATGAATAAACGGGGTTTTAATGGTAAAATAAAAGTGTTCTTTAAATTAGTGAGTAGTAGTAGTACACTCTACTTTAGTGGAAGCATAAATGCAATAAGAGGAAAATATAAATTTTGGGTTATCAATTATCATTTATCACTTTTACATGGCTTGAAACCGATTGAAAAAATTTCTGTTTTGATTTCGATTTGTACACCGATTTCCAATTTTTTTGGGTTTTGGTTTTGGATTTTGTTATCGGTTTCAGTTTTTAAACGGTTTATACCGGTTTCAAAAATCGGTTTCAAGATCTGGAGTCTGGACTATTTACGTTCATTCTTAGTTTATTAATTTTTTTGAATCGCTGGATCGAGCGTCAGAATAATTCGGTCGTCCGATCGCCTATTGTGTAAAATACATTTTCCAAAATGTCAAGATACAAAGATTTTCAAAAAAACATTTTTTTTAAAATAACATTTTTGGTTTTTAATTATAAAACAGGTATTCAATTTTTTTCGAGTCGGTATTGAATTTAATACCGGTTTCCAATTTTTTTCGGTTTCAGATTTGATTTTGTTTTCGGTTTCGGTTTTATAACGGTTTATACCGGTTTCAAGCCCTGCACTATTAACTGAGAGAAGAAGTAAATTGTAAATTAGAGTTTTTTGTGACAATGAGTAAAAGGAAACTGAGAAAAAAAGGGGCGCCAAAATGTGTGTACCCAGGGAGCCAAAATCGTAAATACGCCACTGAAACTTAGTACTGTTACGTGGTATAGCAACTATAAAGCGTTGCATATATTTGATAATATATTCCTATTATACTAAAGTACCAAACGTAGGAATACGTGAAAAGTTTGATGTTTGTAATAATTAGACAAGTGTTAGACGCGAAGACACTTAGTTATGTCGATTACAAATTACAATTTAACGTATATTGAAATAAAATGTTAGTTGATATATAAATCCACTTTCTGATGACCTGACTACTACGAAGTATAACACTACTTCGGTACACTTATAATAATATGTAGCAGGCCGAATGAGTATTATTACAATTTACAAAATTTGTAATGTATGTTTATTTGTAATTTATGTTTTAAAGTAATCAAAAGTAGTTATAGCCGTTATAGGTACTTATCTATAATATGTTGGGACTCCGTGATGGTACGTATGTAATATGTATGTTATGTTATGTACATAACGAATGTAAGATGACACATCCCTGGGTTCTGGGATATATATATTTTAATATAATGTATATTATAATAAAACAAAATACTGTTTTAATGATTTTCATTATTACTGTACTACTAAGTAGGTATGTTCACATGAGTTTACTCCGTAATTAAATATATAGGTACCAAAGTACCTAACTTGGGAGATTTTTCTTAAAACATTAAAGATACAGTGAGTTTGAATATATGTGTTCAAAACGCTTGGTTTCGTTATGAGGTTATCTAATAATATTATGCTCTCTTCCGCCCAATACTGTAGAACCAGCAAGAATTACGGTTGTGTTGTGTGAGATTCCCAAACAGCTAGCGACTAATGGTCACTTGAGAGAGAACAGAGCAAGTTTTTGCGTTTTCTCAGTTAAGTATACTAAAAATGCCGCCACATGATTATGATTAGGTTGATTAGGTAGCAGTGGTGTGTAAGTGTGTAACGTAGGGTCAAAGTATTGCTCGGGTAACACCTTAAATATGGGTGGGTGGGTATTGATAGATGAAAAAAATAGGTCATTTTATAGGTCGCTATAACAGTATTATGAGGGGTAGGTCTCCTAAAATGATTTGAGCAACACCAATTTTTTGTATGATACACGCCACTGTTAGGTACTTAGGTAGAAATACTCGGCGTATCTTGGTAGTTGGTTGAATGAAGATGCACGCAGGTATTACTGTATTAGGTTCATTGAAGGATTGTTAAATGACAAAATTAAATCTTATCTGCACATGTATCGTGAATTTGTTTTAAAGTCCTCAGCGTTCAACTCGAACCACTGTTGCTTTTTACGTCTCATATGCCGCACCAGCTACAGCCTACCACTAATTATTGATATGAGCCACTGTGAAATAAAATAAAAAAATAAATGTAATAATGTAATATTATTAATACATTAGAGACAACGTTGATGTGAACACATATTTTAAATTTGAATTTTCAATTTTCAATCTTAAATTTTTATTTTTAGTTACCTATGTCATGATGATTATTTAAACACTGTTAAGTTTATACTTATATTTTTAAAAATGTTTGTCATTGCAATGTTAATTTAGCAGTTAGCTTGTTGATGTTTAATATTAATAACTAATTACAAATATATAGTGAAATGGTACATGTCTATGTAAAAAAGGGCCTAGCTAATTAAAATGGTAATACAAAAATCAACCATGTTTTTCAAATCAATACCATTACCTAATAGTTATTACTTATTACTATAACGCATTGCAATATATTAATATAACAATATGTAGGTACCATTATTTTATATTATATGCAACACGTTCGAGTCATTATACAATATTATTATTACCATTATTAATATTTAATAATACATAAAATCATAATATTATGTTATTCCCGCATTTACAGATAACAAGGTCGGTGTCGAACATTTCGGCGATGCGCTGCAAGAATGAATCGACGATGATGACGCCGACCCGCGGCTTGTCGGAAGTAGCGAGCGCCGAAATGTCGTGTTACGGCGTGTTCCGCAAACTGGAATCCGTCCGTGGCGGGGGAGAGCGCATCACAGCCGGCCGGCTGCCGCAGTCACGACTGTCCGTGGCCGTGCAGTCACCGCCGATTACGCCAGTCAGTCCGCGAGTGTCAGCGTTCGCGTACGTTACCGCAGCGGCCGACGACGACGACCACGACTGTTGTAATTTCGACCGTGAAACGTATTCGGTGTACGGTTGTGACGCGGCCACGGCGGTTACTACGTCGACCACGGCCACGGTTACGACGGACGCGGCTTCCACTGGTGGCCGCGACGACTGCGGGCTGAGCGACTTCGGTGGTGCGGTTGCTTGGGACGAATACGACTACTGCTGTAGTGCGGCCACCGCGGTGGATACAACGGTCGATCTCCGTGGGGGCGCAGCCCCCCCATTCAGTCACACCCCAATGGGCTCGACCACCAAGCTCGTGGGGATCGATGCCAACAGCGATGATACTCCAAAGGTACGTACCCAGTACCGACTACGATATCAATACGATAAACCAAGATGATCTGATGATCCCAATAATCAGTATATAAGTAGTGTCATTATTGTCCAATGTCCATTATTGCCATTTGCCATATACTCGTCCATCATATTTGTAATTTTGTGTCTGTCGAGGTATCCATTATTACTTGTAGACATTCCTAAATAGGTATATCAGAGTTTTCGCTTTTATTGCTAACCTATTCTATTAATGTCTTTACAGCAATTTATTGTCTTTCATTTATAGTTCACTCACCCTTTCGATATGGTGAGGTGCGCAGTACTGTGCACAACATTGAGGTTTATTCCTAACTTAACTCAAGCTATACATAAATACATAATATTTGTTCAACCACCGTGGGGTGCAGATCACCGCACAGTTGGGATGGAGTTAAAAGTATTTATGACTATATTGGTATACTTAGGACAGTTAGGAGAACACTACACAGGGCATAGGTATACTAGTATTGTAAATACGCAGAGAACGCATAACTTTAAGGGTAAAAGTGCGCTGCACGCAACAAGTGTAGGTATGATATTATAAGTGCACTACATGCAAGTGGATCTGTTTTGATCGGTTATGTAAGTGTTTTGTGTTTTTATAGATATAGTGTTTGACACACCTTTGTGTTGTAATGTTTGTCCAAAACACACAATACACATCATTATTATTTGTTTCTCAAAGTAAATCAGTAAATATCGTGTATCATAACTCATTAGATAATAGATATAGAATGAGAATGTTCTTCAACGTATTATGTTTGTCTGTGTCAGACAACTTTGCAACTTTGCAAGGAGTGCATTTAGGACTGTATTTAAAGTAATCCGCGAATGTTCCATTATTAATTATTAAGTAATCGAATTGACTACTCGTGGTTTTGGTACAAGAACAAGTTATAAATGTATAATAATAATTATTAGGTATATATATCAAGTGAAATTAAAAAATATATGTTGATATTTCTATAGTAATTTGACTCGTTAAACTGCAGCAATTTGCATGTTTTGTACATGAATTTTTAAATATTATTATTATATTATATAAAAAATGAAAACGTACTTAGTATTAAAATACACTATTTGTCAACACAATCAAGGTTACAATAAAAAATTACACGTGCCTAATGTTGGTAACGATTTGGTTATTAATTTGTCTGTAATTCTGTATATATCAAACATCTTGAAAATGTATTGCGTAAATCAAAATACTATCCATGCATACGGAATGTGCCGCTGCTGGCAAAATTTAATTGAACTACAATCAATAGCGGTTTTATAGTTTGAATAATTTGTTGTTATTTTCCGTTAGAAACTAATTGTATATCTTCAGGGCTTAAAAACCAAACAATAGTAGGTTTAATAAAGAAAATACCATACACTAATATAACTCCCTACCCTCGTATGCATATAGCATATACGTATAGCTACTAAAATCGTTACGTTCTAATGTTGGTAGGTACCTACGTGAGTTGCGTAGTCAAATTATCAATACAACTAACCGTTATCAGATAAGCTGAAGTTGGTAATTTACCTAGTCAAAAAGCGATCGCTATGACCGATTAGGAATAGGCTTTGTATGCATTTGCATATTTTTACTGGTCGATCGTACCGTATGCTAAGTAAGCACAAAATATTATGTTTCAGGAAAGTGTAATAAAAAATACGAATTCTTTTAGAGCATGTATTATGTGCATTGTGCATACTACAATTTTACAGTTTCTAGAGCATATTTTACAATTTTAAGCACATTCATATTTTACGGGAAATCACACTATCTGAACCGAATTTTGGGTTCGATCACCGTAAAACCTTTAACTATAATAAGTAGTAGGTGCCTATATTACTATATAGTTAAAATAGCTTCATGCGCGGCGGCCTTGACAAGGCGAAATTGCACAGCTCGTTAAACTCTGCAGACCGTGACCCACACAAATCTGTTTATTCAAATTATTTTAGAAAAAACAAACTAAAAAAAATGGAAATGGAATTTTTTGATTTACCCGATTCGTTTCCTGAATAAATATATGGAAACATCACAGAAATCATGAGCGTAGTAAATTTTCAATGCGTATAAAAATCATGTAATATTTTAGGGTTCATAAAAAACGAGTGTATTATTTTTGGAAGTTAATAATGTTGTTGTGCTGTTGGAGTTCTGTAATAGTTCTGTAGAACCAACTTTTTGCTCATCTTATATTCCCATTCGTACAAATTCATAATCCATAGAAATAATTGGTTAAGCACATTGTATATACATTATTCTAGAAACGACTAGCGGATTTATGGGTATTTTAAAATATTATAGAGAAAAAGTATTCAATATAATAAAATATAATATAGGTAGGTATTATTGTTCTAAGTTCTTAATAAATCATCAATATAAATAATGTCTGGTTATTTTGAATTTTGATAGGTGAGTAATTAATGACTAATATTACATACGGCAAATAATAGTAGGTATGTACAATAGGTTTTAGATTACTATTGATATTACACTTAATTATTAATTGTTTGATGAATTTTTATGTCATTTTTACTCGTCGTCTTGTTACAATACGATATAATATGATAAAATATGGTAGGTATATCGTATAACTCGATATTATAATGGAAGTAATAAAATGTTAATCTACATTTTTTACGTTTAAATGGGTACCTACCTACGTACGCAAAAATATATTTTATTGATAAACGAGATAAAATTCCGTCTGGTTCGTAATTGATTATTTTCAAACTATGTGTCAAACTTATAGTTTCATTTAATTTTAGGTCGTCGGTACTCAAAATCTTATATTTTTATATAAATAAACCGATAGTTTGTATATACGTATTGTTTAAAGGTTGTGCACTCATCCAAAACATTCTAAACTATCTTCGATTCCTCTTTTATCGATATTTTGTAACCATTTCAATATTATACAAAATTAGAATATTAATTTGTTCAAAAGCACCAGTAAAGTCTAATAGTCTATAGTCTATACTTACGAACCTAACCAATGTCATACCAGTTATAATGGCTGCAAATTAAATTATAAATATCACATAAAACTATACAAATTCATCCATGTTTGTACTCGTAATTTCGAAAAGATATAATTTTTTTGAAAACATTTCATTATAATTATTTGTAAAATAATGTTTTTGGAAAAAAGTGATATTTATCTCAATTTTTAAATTTAAATTTTTTGATTAAAAACATACATTTTTGATTTCATATGCAGAAGCAGAATATTTTTCGTAGTGTTTCGATACATGAAAATACAAACAAACGAGTAGTACCTAGTTATAATTAGTTATAACATATTAGTATTTGAATTTTAAAGTTTAGATGAGCGGAATAAAGTAGTGTAAAGCACTTTTAATGATACCTATGCCTAGTCATTGTAGGTAGGTGACCCATCAATATAATAAAAAAAATATTGTATTCGTCCCGGTGACGCACGGCGTGGCGTGTTCATTTTATACCCCCATAAGACGAACCACACGAATTTAATATTATACGAGATATTATATAACCAAGTTATCATTTTGTTTCATATAGTTTTTCCTCGTTAAAATTAATATTCTGTAGACGACGGTGCGTGCCGGTCATTGTTTGTGTGACAGTGTGACACCATTTGGGCACGAGCCTCTCACCGTTTTTTTTTAAAACAATTTTTTTTTATAGTCCCGATTTACATTCTATTTCCTTCTATGTATAATATATATAATAAAGGATATGTAGGCGATTCGTAATGGTTATCGTCTTCGTGGTAACTACCAAGGTCCTCTTCGGACTAAATACTTAAGTATATTATTATTACCGTCAACGCGAGGAGCGAATAACAAAAAGGGCGCACTATACACACGCTGTATATATAATAATATACACCTGTAGGTAACGGAGACGACTGCAGCTGACTGAGGCGCGGTGTGTGCATTGTATATATCATATATTATATATATACAATATACGCTATTCGATTACAATGGAATGGTGCGTGTGTATACATATTACATATAATATATATATACGCTATTTGATTACAATGGAATGGTATGTGTCGTACATATGCACGACCGACACGAAAATTAAAAATTCTCATTACAAATCGTATAGGTAGTCTGTATACGCGATGTCAATGTCAACGTGAAACGGTGCTTATTGTGCCGGTGCGCGCCTACAAAAAATATTAACGAAAAGATGACAGCGTGCGCAACAAATATAATATATTATTATTATTAATATTATTATATAGCACCTCTATAATTTATATATACATCGACACATATAGTATAAGTGGTTATACGTGTGGCGACGTAGCGTATCAAAAACCCTGTGCTATTGTCGTGCTAGTATCGAATGCAACTAGGTCTACAAGTCATAATAGTGAAGCTGTGTATGCTTGACGCCGGTGAACAATGGATATAGTGATTTTTTTGGGCAGGGGGAATGCAGCACATCGGATATTCTCCCTTCTCCGACGCCTCACTCGGCCCGATCCGTATACAAAACAAAAAAGATGAAGGAGTCTATACTCATTATTTAGAAATGTTGTAACTTTTTTGAAAATATTTTTATTACCTACATCGCAAATCAAAATGTTTGAAAAAAATATATAGTTTTATAATTTTTTATAATTTTCATTTTTTAAGTTTTTACTCTTTTGAATGGCAAAAGATATAGGTATGTTTAACATTATACAATTTTGAAGAGTGGAGTAGAATGGGCTACAACACGTTTGGGCATTTTATCCCAAATTGAGACACGTTTGGGCACAAAATCACAACACGTTTGGGCACTCTATATCCCTAAAAAGATACCACGTTTGGGCACTAAAATGTATATACCTTTGTTTAAAAAGTATATAAAGTATATACATACAAGCATAATATATATGTCAAAGTTGCAGTGATTACGCGTGTATCGGGAATCGTCGCTGCGCTCCTCGGCGCTGATCGAAAAATATCCCCAGACTTGCTATGCAACACCACCTT